CACCTCCTTAAATGTTTTACACTTATTCAATTATAGCCTGTAGTAGTATTGTCAAGGAAAGGAGAAAAATAGACGGAATCGTAGACAGATCAGAAAAAGGGTAAATAAAAGATAGAGTTACAGAGAGAGTAGATTTTAGTTGATAGTTTCAAGTTCGAATTCAGATTTTCGATACGAATCCTCTATGTTAATTCAATCCGTGCTATATTGCTAATGGTGAAATTGATGTTTCTTGAATATGCTTTTGAAAGAATTGAAGAAGAGCTCAAAAACTTACTTTTCCATAAAATTTATTTTTCACTGCGTTGTTAATATCGAATTAATCAGCATCCTATGGAATAGTTTTGTTTTGTTATTGATGTAAACGAAGGTTGTTAATGTTAACGTCAATTGTTTTGAAAATATATGTTGTCAAGTTTATAATTCAATTCATTGTATTTTCCGAAACAGATTTAATTTGAACAAAATACCTGCTTTTGATTCATATACCATCATTTATGGGACCAGGAGGTCATTGAAGCAGGATAGTATTGAAACTGAAAGTAAAGCTGCATAATAACAACTATCATAATTGTATAATAATAACCTAGGACTCGGTATACCAGTTTGGGTAGAAAAGTACATATATAACATCTGCGTTAGTCAAAAGTTTCAAAACAGCCGTTCAAATCAATGTCTTGTTATCGGGTTACTTTTGTTTCTTATGAATGTTGTTGGGCGCCGACTAGCTCTGGAGTTTTGATTGAATAACAATACAAAAATTCGGTTTATTTTTAATCACAATTGTCTCGAATTACTTGTTACTAACTTGAACTCTAAATCCCGAATGCCGTCAAACACCGACTGTTATCCAAGGGTCCGCTACCTGCTTCGCATGGGTAGGGTTGACAAAAAACTATACGGCGTTGCCGAAGGCGGTTTCGCAAGAATATTGAAAAGTATAATGTAAGTAATTTAACTAAGGGCAACACTACAACAGTCTTGATTTAATTCACACTGACGTTTGTGGACCGATGAAAACTGAAACACCAGTAAGTGAACAATATTTTTCGACATTCATTGATAACTTTCCTCGCTATATATTAGTCCAGGTATTTTTTTCGTACCACAGTTTCTTATTTTCCTGAAATAAACAGAGTTACTGTACAGAACATTATGTGAGTCCGCCAGTTGCTAGTTGTTGAAGCAAAGCTACCTAATAAATGAATGTAAACTTTCTCGGCCGTCGATTACTGTGTGACAGCTATTTTTCGGGTATTTCGGCCGTGGTCTGCAGGTTTTTATGCACGACATTTCGTCTACTACTGCGGTAGATAGTGTCAAAGGTGATGTGGTAACCATTGCAGTGCCGTTGTTGTTCCCGTTGTTCCGAACGCATAACTAACAATGTTAGTAACATTAATGTTTATTGCCTCTTCTTTTCTATTGAAATAATTATTCCTGTGTTTTCGGATTTCTATTGCCCCTCTATAGATATAGTCTTGGATGGTAATTTTAAGTTTCATCGAGTACCTGTTACTTTGATCACATAAGAATTTGTTGACTCAGGCAAACCGACAAATCAGCTGCAACCGAATATGCTCCCAACAAAGGAGGCACTGACATTTTCTCATTCGAAGATACAATTATACTCGATAAAACTCAAAATTACTATCCGAAAGTTTATAGAGAGGCAATAGAAATTTTTAAACACAGGGATAATCGGGCTACCTGTTTTTCAAGGTACACAAACAGCGTTAGATAATCCAGTAATTAAAATTCAGTTAGGAATAGTCATGACAAAACAATTTTTACCGATCGCGAAAGAATAGCACCTAAAGGCTGACTTTCGACCAAAAGAGAACAGATGTCAATCTTGCTGAAGTGCCCATCAGTAAGTTGAGGACCGCTCGGAGAGCGGGGGTGGATGGAGTGGGGTAGTAGGTTCTCCTCGCTAAATAAATAGGGGGGAAGCTCCTACTTCAGGGCACTCAACCCGGGAGGGGGCATGGGGGG